AGAACTGTAACAGGAGAACACATGGCTTTACCAGTATGATCCTGAAGATAAAGCACAATCAAAGCCAAGTCTACCAAGAGGTGGACATGTTCCAGTTAAAGCAAAAGCAGACTTGTTAAGAGCAAAGGTCATGGCAACAATTTTGGGGGATGCTCAAGGCATTTTGCTTGTTGACTTTCTGGAAGGCCAAAGAACAATAAAATCTGCCCATAATGAGAGTGTTTGGAGAAAGTTAGCCAAAGCTTTAGCAGAAAAACGCCCAGGAAATCTTGACCAGAGAATTCTTCATATATTTTGATGATCTGTTATTAGGTGCATATCTGTTTATAACTGCTATGTCTTCCTGCTGTATTAAGCCTTTTATTATTACATAATATCTCTTTGTCTCTTATAACCTCTTTTGATTTAAAATATGTTTTGCCTGATATTAGCATAGCCACCCCTGCTCTCTTTCAATTACTATTTGCATGGAATATCCTTTTCCATCCTTTTACTTTCAACTTATTTGTCTTTGAGTCTAAAGTGAGTCTCTTGTAGACAGCATATAGTTGGATCATTCTGCTAATCTCTGTCTTTTGATTTGAAAGGTTAATTCATTTAAATTGAAAGTAATTACTGATAAGAAGGGATTTACTTCTGCCATTTTGCTATTTTTTATATGCCTTATAGCTTTTTTGTCCACCATTTCCTGCATTACTGTTTTTTGTGCTTTTGTTGAAAACTGGACATTTGCCTCTGATAATGCGGTAACTATGGATATCAGATTCCCTCTCCAGGGTTTGATATTTTGTTTCTGTTTTTTTTAATTGTTATAGGCTGTCTCTGTGCTGAGGATCAGCCTGAGATGTGAACTTAAGATCTTAGGTGTTTCCTGAGCCTGCACCTTCTGGGCTTGCATGGTGACTTTCTAATCCCCCACCCCCACACACACACACGTGGTTGCTTTCAATGTAGGAGGGTACTTTAAAAAGTTCGTGGAAAAATAGAATTAAAATATGAATCTTTCAGTGAACTTCTTGAAGTATCCTCATACTAGTCTTCAATGTCTGGCTCCCAAAAGAAGAAAAGAAATGATGGGATAGAATAAAAGGTGGTTTGGAAGTCACTTCAGCCTTAGGGGAGGGGTTGGCAACAATGTAAGGAGGTACGACTACAACAACCACTGTCTTTTTGTCTGCACCTCTGTTATCAGAGCTCAGATCCCCAATATTTAGGGGACAGCATCCTTTTTTGCCCATCCCCACTCCTACAAATTGTGTACATGCTGCTGCAGAAACAAATGTATGGCTGGGAGTAGGGGATAAGAAGCTGTTACTGTGCTCAGAGCTAAATTTTGATTACTAATTTTAGTTACTGACCAAAATTAACTGCAATTTACCATCTAAGCCTTCAATAGATTCTAGACTTCCAAAAGAGTTAGATCAAATGGATTCTGCCAGTGCAATTGTTATCTATGTGGGGAGACAGACTTCTGGTGCCTCCTACTCTGCCATCTTCCCAGANAGTAGGGGATAAGAAGCTGTTACTGTGCTCAGAGCTAAATTTTGATTACTAATTTTAGTTATTGACCAAAATTAACTGCAATTTACCATCTAAGCCTTCAATAGATTCTAGACTTCCAAAAGAGTTAGATCAAATGGATTCTGCCAGTGCAATTGTTATCTATGTGGGGAGACAGACTTCTGGTGCCTCCTACTCTGCCATCTTCCCAGATCCCCTTCTAAGATTTATATTTTAACTTTATTCCATATGATTGATAAAGTTGAAGAGATGCTGAGAAATTTTAGTAGAGGCATAGAAGGTATTAAAAAAATAAGGGCCGACCCCGTGGCTCACTCGGGAGAGTGCGGCGCTGGCAGCGCAGTGGTGCTGGGAGTGCCAAGGCCATGGGTTCGGATCCTATATAGGGATGGGGTTGCGATCCCCTTACCA